TGGGTGTGTTTTCACTCATGTTCACACTCGATAGGGCCTTCCTCTCTCTGTGTCTTAATTAGTTTCACTTCTCTAGCGCACTGAACATCACATACCTCTGAGGTAACATCTAAACATGCCTCACCACAGCCAGGAGTGATAAAGAGTTTACGTCAATGGAAAACAGGAGAGGAGAAGTGACTGAACGGATCACTTTACAGTCGCTGATGTTTAACCCATCGGTGGTACCATTTGTCACCAGAAGGGGTATATGACAAGATATTGATGTATTTCAACAACTATACATGAAAGTGCAGAATATGTTGATTTCATGTGAACATCAATATATGGACTGTTGTATTTACATGTGTTGTTTTAAATTAATCTCATTGTTGCATTTCCAGCCTTAAATGTGGCATAAAATGATCTTGGCTTATCATGTCATTATTTTTTTACAACTTTCTGTTGGGTTTAATTGAAAAAGTTTTTCATTGGTTACAGTCTTGACCAAGACTAAAGTGTATATTTTCATAGATTTTGTGATTTAAAAGACATTCCGTTGGTAAAATTCACATACATTCGCTTAGCTGGGACGATTTTGCCAGTACATGCCATATACCAGTCAAAAGATTGGAATAATTAATGATTTTTAAAATGTTTTTTAAAGAAATCTTATGCTCACCACTGCCTTTAAACTAAAATACTGTACAATTTAGAATAACTGATTTATATTTTAAAATGTCATTTATTCCAGTGATGCCAAGCTGAAATTTCAGCATCATCACTCCAGTGTCACATGCTCTTTCAGAAATCATTCTCATATACTTATTCTTTGTTCTATCTGTTTGACAGGAGTAACAAGTACTGGTGTGTCAAAGCGCTGACTGAATTGGTCATAATTATGCATAGTGAATCTAGTTTCCTCTGTATTAAAACAGAGCAATGGAGATTTGAAGTGGTTTCTTGTCTTGAATAAAGGAAAACCCCATGAACCAGTTTGACGAGATGTTTGTCCTGAGATCACGTTTGACTTTAGCAAACACTTCACGTCAGAACGTTGAATGGATAACATGTAAATTGTTTCACGTTGAAGATCGTCATACTTCAAGATCTTTAATTCTACGTTAGACATTCCAGCAGATCTTCATTTCCACTTGCGCTGGCATTCGCTCATGGCCATTTTATGGTGTTATTTTTGGAGTGTGTGAATGTCACCCTTGATACACTCTCTGCGTGCGTGTGTGTATTCGTGCAGATGAGTGGGTGAGTCTTTAGCAACTGGTCCACAACATCTCTCAGGCTCAGAGACGTCTCAGTTGCCATGGAGATGGTGAGAAAGGGTCTGGGTATCGGCACTGATTTCCTGGTTCGACTCGAAGTACAAGCTATCCTTTATATGTATTAATTTGGGAATATTTCAGTTAAGTTAAATTTCATGTCAATATGAAATTAACTACATGATTACACAACTGCAACACAATCGGGATTCATTTTATTTTCACTTTCAAGCATATCGAAATAATTTTGGCCATTACAGGTTATCGCTATACACAGAAACTCAAAGATTCTTCTTTATACCACTTTAAAAAAAATTACAAAATAAAATAACCTGTCGACCTGTCAATCAATATTGACTTAAATCACATCATGAAAGTAAAATGGTTTATTTTTATGTTGACTTGATTAAGTGTATTTAATCTAGGGTTATGACGCACACTGTTCAAAAGTTTAGGGTCAGTAAGTTTTTGGGGGTTTTTTCTCCAAAGAAATTGATACTTTTATACATCAAGCATGCATTAGTTTAAAATGGACAATTTTATTTATATAGCACTATTAAACACAACCATTTGTTGACCAATGTGCTGCACAATAAAAACATTTCAATAAGACAATACAAAATAATAACTAAAAGAAACAGTACAATAGAAAGTTCTCATTGATAAAACGCCAAATCAAAAAGGTAGGTTTTCAACATGGATTTAAAAACAGATAGTGAAGGTGCTGATCTAATACAGAGGGGCAGAGCATTCCACAATCTAGGGGCAGCAACTGAGAAAGCGCGGTCACCCCTGCATTTAAGCTTCGACTTTGGGATGCATAATAATCTGTGGTTGGACGACCGGAGAGACAAGAGGGGCCGATGTTCAGTCAATAAATCAGATAAATAAGCAGGGGCCAAACCATTTAATGATTTAAACACTAAGAGAATCATTTTAAAATTAACTCGATAGCGCACAGGCAACCAGTGCAGGGAACGTAAAACTGGTGTAATATGATCCCGTTTTTTGGTACTCGTTAAAAAGCCTTGCAGCTGCATTTTGAACTATCTGCAAGCGGGATAGGGCTGACTGACCAATCCCAAAATACAGCGAGTTGCAGTAGTCTAATCTAGATGTAATAAAAGTATGAATTACTTTTTCAAAATTTTTACTAGACAAAATAGGTTTTACTTTCGCTAGAAGTCAAAGCTGAAAAAAGCAGGACTTGACCCCCCGTATTTATCTGTCAAATTTTAAACCATCATCAGAAATAACACCCAGTTTTTTTGCCCAAGGCTTAACAAAAGATTTCTACTTCAATTAAATGCTGTTCCTGTTCTTTTGAACTTTATTTATTTATATTAATATATAGCAGCAGATCTAGGTAGGTGGTGCTGGGGAGGCGGTGGGCTAAGATGAGGACATGCATATCGTGCAGACAAAACATTTATTGAATATGTGCTGGTTTTATAGGAATCCAGTAATGAGTATAATCTGATTGGCTGGGAACATTGAAGTGAATGAACCAACAAGAGCGCAAGTAGATTTTCATGGCTGAACTATATATATATACAGTGGGGCAAAAAAGTATTTAGTCAGCCACCAATTGTGCAAGTTCTCCCACTTAAAAAGATGAGAGAGGCCTGTAATTTTCATCATAGGTATACCTCAACTATGAGAGACAAAATGAGAAAAAAAAATCCAGAAAATCACATTGTAGGATTTTTAAAGAATTTATTTGCAAATTATGGTGGAAAATAAGTATTTGGTCAATAACAAAATTTCATCTCAATACTTTGTTATATACACTTTGTTGGCAATGACAGAGAATGAGACGAGCTGACATTCACAGTATTTAGGTCTTTGTTCTTTGTGCATGGGCCGGCAGTCAGGATTTACTGACTCCGCTAAAGCTGCAGATTGAGAGGCATGCTACAAATAATTATTAATGAGAATCTGCTGAAAAAAGCCATTGATTTAAAAATCAATCTTGGGATTTCAAAACTCGATATCAGAACGTTCAAACGAAGATCACAGTTAATCGGGAAATCAATATGTTTGCCCAGCCCTAGCGGCATATCAATGTGGTTGGCATTGGCTCTCAGAGTCTCAAGTGGTGAGGGAGGAAATGTGGCGTGAGCTGCACACTAGACCTGATTCTGTTCTTTAAAAACACATTGCTGCAGATTTGGGAAACAGTTGATCCGGAGGCATGATTTGAGGCTCGTTGGAGAATCTGTTGTGTGGGGCTTCTGTGGGTGTGAGTGCGTTGAAGAGGCACAAGACAATTGGAGGCTATGCGGTTAACCTTTAACAGAGCTAACAGGGACTTTGAACTGGAACTCAAAGAAGCTGATCCAAGTAGTCACAAATACTGGACCAGATCCCTCAAATCACATACATACATCACTGTATGCACATGATTTGATTTTGTCCTGGGGACCTAAATTTAATCGTGGTATGAGTCATTTTATATTATTTTTTTATAATGGGAATTTAAAATTTTTTATATAGCAGAATCGGTTGACGCATTTTTACCATTGAATAGTATATTCAGCCAAGTCCTTGTAGCTCAAGTTGTATTGTAAGAGGTAATGTGCATAGTAAATATTTTTATGACTTCTTTAAATCTGTCCCTATAATGTTAGGGATAATATAATTATAATAAAGGGATTATGCTTTGGCCCACTGCACTAATTTCTTGGGTTTATTACCCCTCACAGCTCTGAAAGAAAGAATAGTCACTCTGAAAACCTCTCCACATCATGCTGAGGATTATATTTCACATGATATGTTTGCATTGTAAGCAATATAATCACTTTCATCCTAAGTCACCTGCTGAAGTAATCCTCCCAAGTTCCAAATATGCACTTTCTTTTATGCCGCTTTGGTGAGAACACATCTGCCAAGAAAAGTAATGTTAAATGCATACGCTCAAGGTAGATTTTCTTTCCAGTTTTTTCCCAGTTTGGTCCTAATTTACAGAACAGTCCTGTTGGCCATTTAGATAAGCTGCCTTGTTTTTTTCAATTAATGGAATGGTTCACACAGAATGGAAAATTTTGTCATCATTTACTCCAAAGAACTGTGACTTTCATTCTTCTGTGGAATACAAAAGGAGATCTTGAAGAATACCTTGATCACTCTCTATAGCATAATAAAAGTGAATGAGGATTGGGGAAGTTTGGTGAATGATTCATTCATGAATTGAACTGATGCAGTTCAAATGAGTGATCCAATCACAGCTTATTAGAAGAGAAAATATAGAGTAGTACAGAACTTGTTCACCAGCAGGTGTATGTTTTCGATGCTTTCATTGTGCTGATATGGTACGTTTCACTGTCCATTCAAATGTAATACAAGTAATTCAATGCCAAGGTCATGGGTTCAATTCCCAGGGAATGCATGGACTCATAAATATCAAGTATACTTTGCAATATGCTTTGGATAAAAGTATCTGTCAAATGCATAAAACCAACGTTTATATATATAACAAATCTATAAATTCTTAGACAATCCTTGACATTCAAAAATTCAAGAGCTCTCAATGGAACCGAATGTTATCAAAATCATTCAGATTTAATGTGTTTTTTTTATAATTGGAGAAAATGGTTCATAATTCTCAACATTAGTACTTAGGTTCCAAGGCGTAAAGCACAGGAACTTGTTACTGCTGAGACCTTGTTGTGTTTTCCGATTGCCTTTTTGTACTGTAACATCAGTCAGTCTCTAACCCCCAACTCTCTTTTTATCTGTCTGCAGGAGATAAAGATGGCAGTAAAGTGACCACAGTGGTGGCGACCCCTGGACAGGGACCTGACCGGCCGCAGGAGGTCAGCTACACCGACACCAAGGTCATCGGGAACGGCTCTTTTGGCGTGGTCTATCAGGCCAAGCTCTGTGACTCAGGAGAACTGGTGGCCATTAAGAAGGTCCTTCAGGACAAGCGATTTAAGGTAAGACTTATATTCTTGACTGAATATAATGCTTTGGAGCTCAAAGCTTTTCTTAAGAACAGCTCAGACTCTCATCAAAATGCTTTTGTCTCTGTTCCTATATCCTTATTATTATTTTTTTGTACTTGTACTGTTCTTTGATCAGTTCCCTTATTTCTGTTCTTCAGTGTTACTGCTATCCTTTTATCTTTCATCTCTGATATCTTATATTTGATCTAATTTCTTATTGTTTATCGTTTCTCTTAAAGGGGTCATATGATGCTTTTTAAAGATCATTATTTTGTGTATTTGGTGTAACAGAATATGTCGACATGCTTTAACGTTAAAAAAACATTATTTTTCAAATACTGTACATCATTGTAGGTCCTCTATGCCCCGCCTCTCTCAAACGCGTCGTTTTCTACAAAGTCCCTCCTTCCGACAAGCGCAGTCTGCTCTGATTGGCCAGCTAACCCAGTGCATTGTGATTGGCCGAACACCGAAAGCACTCGTCGGAAATGTAACGCCCCTTACAATAATTGCGAGCTTCATCTTTCAAAATAAATGTAAAGACAGAGTCCGAAAGGGGAACTTAGCTGAATGCCATACTGATGTGATCATACAGGTGTAATAAGTATAATACTGTTTCCTAAACCAGATGCAATGCAACAAGTTTCAGCAACAAGCAGTTTGCCCATCCACTCTGAACATGAAACTGCTGCTTGACAAAACACAATAACAGTCATTCAGAAGATATCCGATGTTCAATATACAGTTATGAGAAGCAGTGTTTTGAATCAAATTTCACAGTTGGTGGAGGGAAAACTGATACCAGCCAAAATGTCCTGCAACTTGTCATGCCTCCTTATGGGTTGAACCCACAAACTTGGCATTGGGCTGCACAAAAAAAAAGTAACATATGGCTATGAAATAATAATAATGATAATAATAATAATAAATGTTATTATTAATATTAATGAATAACAATTTTAAACAAAATAAATATTACTCTGACAGATGACAGGCATCATCTCTTTCGTATATTGCAGCAAAAAAGTATGATTTACAGGAGAAGGATGTGCAGCGACACATAAATGCTGTCGTGCTGAGAATGACTGTAAGATCAGATGGTGGTGTAAATTAAATTTAGGTCACTCATGTCAACGAGCGATTTCCGCTAGTGTGAAAAATTTGACTTTGTCTCGTTGGGACAGTGACCAGCGTGGAAGAGACATGTCCATCAGAGAGCTGTAGTGCATCCATGTGGCGTGTGTGAGACAGAACGGGTCACATATGAAGGACAGCGTGTGTATAGTGACCTGACAGAGATATTGACACACTGTTCTGGTGTGTGTGTGTTTTGTCTGTGAAGCTGTGCGCCCTTTCCATTGACACTTTGTCGGTTCTTCTAGGGTAATAGTGCTGCTGCCTGTATAGCCAGCATTTTAAGTCATCACTGGCACATTTCCAACAGGAAGGTTGTTCCAAAGGGTACAGGCATGATTATACCTTCTGGGCAATTTCAATGTATTTTGAAGTAAAAGGCCAGTGGGTCACACTTTATTTTACTATGACTTTGCCTCAATAAACTCCTAATTTGCTGCTTATTAATAGTTAGTAAGGTAGTTGTTAAATTTAGGTATTATGTAGAATTAGGAATGTAGAATATGGTCATATTCTTTATATGTGCTTTATAAGCACTAATAAACAGCCAATGCGTTAATAATAATAGGCATGCTAATAAGCAACTAGTTAATAGTGAGAATTGGTCCCTATACCAAAGTGTAGTCCAGTAAAAAAGATAGCAGATGAATAGTGAAATGTCAATTCTAAATATATAATTCATTCAGTAACAAGAAGTATTGATAAAAATGTTAAATCTACAGAGCCAGTGAGACAGTGATGAAAAAACAGCAACAGTTTTGCGCTCCCCTGAAAATCGTTCTATCTTCGCCTTGTTTACAAGCAGAGGAATGCACATGCATGCGTTATGGTACTTTCATGAACGCACGTCGAAGACTAACATGGAACAGAAGAAATTGTTGAATAAAGTCGTTATTGTTTTCTTTGCACACAATAAGTATTTTCGTAGCTTCATGAAATTACGGTTGAACCACTTATGTCACAAAGCTTGTCGCAACTCTGTTTTTCTATAGCTCTGGCTTTAACTGAAGCGCTACATTTTACGATTTACGCCACATTAAGTGCGCCAAAACGGTATTTATTGTTAGAATTTAGTATTTCAACATACAAAATTTAAAAGCTTTGTTTCATATCACAAGCAGGGTTGCCAATTTGGCGTGAGATTTACATGGGCCAAATGCGTGAGAGTTGGCAACCCTGGTTATTTCTGTCAGTCTTTTCCACCTTTCTTTTCAGTGGAGTTTGCTCCCTCTCTTGCTCGTCCGAGAGAGGATTTGTATGTGTGAAGTGTGTCAGTATCTGTAGGAGTGTTTATCTGTATGACCTTTACCCTGCAACAAACACACATATATATATATACATGATATTAGCATGCAAGAACAGTCCCAGTATTCATTGTCCCTCAAGCTTCTTACTTTAACGTCAGTGGATACGTGTATGATTAGTTAGTATGTATAAAAAAATAAAGCGAAACCTAGATAAGTGTTATATGTATACATCCATATACTGATTTTGTCAGCAGAAGCCAGTAATCAACACTGTATGTGTGAAGTGTGTCAGTATCTGTAGGAGTGTTTATCTGTATGACCTTTACCCTGCAACAAACACACATATATATATATATACATGATATTAGCATGCAAGAACAGTCCCAATATTCATTGTCCCTCAAGCTTCTTACTTTAACGTCAGTGGATACGTGTATGATTAGTTAGTATGTATAAAAAAATAAAGCGAAACCTAGATAAGTGTTATATGTATACATCCATATACTGATTTTGTCAGCAGAAGCCAGTAATCAACACTGCTGCTTTTAGGTTACGCAAATGCTTGTGTGATGTAATAGTGCAGCTGAAGTGATGTAATGGGGGCTTTTCAGAGGAATCAATCATTTTCCATGAAGTGATTGTGTACTTGGCCGTGTGCATGAAGCAAAGGTACTGTTTGCGTTCTCCTTAAAAATGATAACTATAAATATATACCAATTATAACCAACTATAACTGCATTAGTGGGCTGCGCAATAAACAGTAGCTAAAATATTATATTTTTGCTTATTCTAAACATGATATTTTTCAGCCTTTTGAACATATTTAGTTCAGTATTCATGTGTATTCTGTAAAATAACTTAAAATGGTTTCATTTTAATGAACTTTAGTGAATAGATGAATAAACATCACTTTCAGCTATTGTAAGCAAATACATTCAATCTAATAAATATTTGAGACCAGATTTTCACAGTTTTTCACTAAATTATCTCATGAAAGAATAACTGTTAAAGTGATAGTTCACCCAAAAATTTTAATTACTCTGATTTACTCAACCTCAAGCCATCCTAGGTGTATATTACTTTCTTCTTTCAGATAAATACAATCAGAGTTATATTTAAAAAAATGTCCTGGCTCTTCCAAGCTTTATAATGGCAGTGAATGGGGGTTGAGCTTTTCAAGCCCAAAAAAGTGCACCCATCCATCATAAAAAGTGCTCCATACGGCTCTGGGGGTTAATAAAGGCTTTCTGAAGCAAAGCGATGTATTTGTGTAATGCGGCCTGATGAGAGTGACTGTATGCAGAGTTGGCAGAGACTAGTGTGTTCACAAATTACCACCCACCGTGTGATTTTGATGGAGTTACAGGCTAACAGAATCACACACACACACACACAAACCCAAGTTTGATTCCACACCCCTCCCTCTGTCCCCGCAGGTTGCTTTTCACAACTTCATTGACAGGATACCAAAACTTCAGTACCCCAGTCATTTCACAATTATTATACTACAGCAAAAACCAATCCTAAACGCACAACTTTAAACTTTAGAACTTTTTTGTAATAAATATAATATTACGGTAATATAAATTTACTATTTAATTAGAACATGCTTTCACATATTTCCCAATCATATACACATTGCTTCAGTTTTCTCAAGAGATTATTCAAGGAAACAATATTTAAGAACTAGAATAAATTAAATAATTATATGAAGTGCTCTTTTTCTTGTCAGTAATACACAGCAGCAGGTCAAATAGGCTGCATTTATACTGTAAGACTAAAGCATTTGTTTCACACAATAATGTTCTTAAATTGTGCATGAATTTGTCTGATAAATGCATTGCAAGAGATGTGAAAAATTCAGGCTGCTGTGCAAAGGCAATGTATAAATGCACTATTTTATAATTTCATACTAATTGCGAACCATACCAAAGCGACCTCTTTAACCCAGAGTGGACTTAGTTTTATCAAACTGCTTCACACCATGCAACTAAACAGACATTTAATGTATTTGCCCTGCTATTTTCAAAAGTGACCATGGCCTTGACTAAACAAATCCTGAAAAGCCTTGAAGTTGTGTCAGATATGAAGTCTTCATGTATTTAATGCCCTTCCTGCCGTCACCTTCTGCTGCTCTCATGTAAATAGAGGAAGCATCTCTCTCAGACGCACACCATGTGGGTGGTGCTTTAAATAAAATCGTTGATTAGCCAGTTTCTCTCATGGAAGCTGCCAGATGACTCTTGTTGTTATGGTTACGGGCCATTCCAGTTGCTCTATTTTGGTCTTTTATTCTGGTCAGATGTGGGTCAGAAACTGACTCAAGTCCTCTAAGCAAGGAACTCTCGAGGACTTTATTTGTTGCTGTGTATGTGTTTTATTTGAATTGCACTTAACGTGTATCAGCCATTATCACAGTTCTATTTCAGCAGTTTAGTTTCATTACCAAATGTAGAATTTTTTTTGCTGGATCACAAGGCTTCAAAGGGACATCAGTGATCCCATATGGCATCTTTGCAGTTTTTTCACTTTTTCTGGATTGAGTGTAGGGGATTTAAATATGGTAAAAGTGGTAAACTGAGCTCAGAGTACTGCTGTTGCTGAGTACTACACTCTATGCGCAGCTGAAAATATTAGCTTAAATCAAACTGTTTTCTTGTTTGTGTTTTCTTGCAGAATCGTGAGCTTCAGATCATGAGAAAACTGGACCACTGCAACATTGTGCGTCTGCGTTACTTCTTCTACTCCAGTGGAGATAAGGCAAGTGTATCACTTCATCTTATATTTTATCTCACACTACATCACGGTGTGCTTTTATGCTGCCCTTTTCAGTGCCATTTCTTTTAACTAGGGCACTGTGAATATAGAGTAAATATTATGGATGCACCGATATGAAAATTTTGGCCGATATCGATAATTCTTTATATTTGAAAACCGATATGTTGGCTGATAAATCTAAATCCAAATTTTTATGTAATTTTTGAGAGCCTGATTAAAAAAAAAAAAGTCACTGGACAGCATTACTTAGGTGTAAAATAATCAAAAATCATGTGCCATGGATAAATAAAAACGGAATAGCCTCTGCACCGACAATAATAAAATTATTTTAATTAAACCATATGAAAATAATAAGATAAAAATAAAAGTGGTGGTTATTATTAATAATATATCAATGATTTTGAAAAAGAAGTATCTTAAATTAATAGCTACCATTGTTTCAAATAGCAGCATTTCTGTTTAAGCTGCATGCGCTGTTGCTGAAGAGCTTAATGAACACCGGTAAACTGAAGCGCTTTGTTAGCGGGTTAATTGTGCTATATGAGAATCAGATATTTATACAACATAAACATAATATTATAACTTATATATACACAAAAAGACGCAAATGCAGTGATCTTGATCTAAGTTACGTGCTAGCCAGATGTGTAACTCGACACACTCTTCTTCCCGTAACAACGCGCTGAAATTCACATGAATTCACTGAATTCACAACTTTTATTACGGTAATATTCTCTTTATAATGTTAAGCATAAGACATTACCAGTTATACTAGTTATTAACGTTGGGCACTGCTGTTCACACTGCGTGTGCTGAAGCTGAAGAGCTGAATGAACTGCCGTAAACTGAAGTGCTTTGCTGGCAGCTTATTTAACTCAAGGAAATGCATCATATACAGTATGAGATTAATCATATATGAGATTAATCAGATATTTATACAACATAAACATAATATTACAATTTATATATGTACAAAAAGACACAAATGCACAAGTGAACTCGAAGTAAGTTACGTGCTAACCAGAATATAACTTGTGGATGCGCTCTTCCCGCAACAACGCACTGAAACACGACAAATTAAACCAAAGAATTCACGACGTTTTATTATAATAGTGTTCTCATTATAATGTTATATATATGATAGCCCTAGTTATTAATGTTGTGCGCTGCTAACACCGGCAAACTGAAGCGCTCTATTAACCCTCTATTAGCTTAAACACAAACACAATATTACAACGTACAATTGCACAAAATTCTGCAAATGCTCAAGTGAACTTAACTGTGCTGGTCATGAAGGTGCAGCTCCGTTCTGAATGCACTCTTCCCATAACAACGCGCTTAAACACGAGCGCACAAAGATTCCATAACATTATTTAACAGTAATGTTCTCATTATATTATGACAGACTTGACCTGTTAAATATTGCTGAATAAATTTATTTTTTAAGAAAAAAAATCTTTGAAACTTTTTAATGGTAAGGTTTATATATTTAATATAGTCAAATAGCTTTAAACAAATAAGAAAGAAAGAAAGAAAATCATTAATAATATTAAGAGATTTATTAACTATTTCGTCCATGCCTCTCTGTGTTTGTTAATCTCTAATGGGGTCTAATGGCGTCCAGATGCTGACCTGAGAGAAATCGACTCTGAGAACTTGTGCCCATGTGATTATCTGCTTTATCTGCTAGGCATATATAGACTGAGATATTAAGACACGCACACACATAAATAATGTCAACGCTGCAGCATGGCCTGACCGCCAACCACACATCTAGCTCTCTGTCTTTCTTGGTCTCGATTATATCACACATTATAGGCACAGACCCTCTCGACCTCTCGCCCACACGCCGTGACTTTGCAAAAACGCCTGACCACCGCTTTTTTCTTCTCTGAGAAACACGCTTTGGAAATGTCAGTAGCTGGTTTCCGCTCACACACCCACATGCACGCCCGACCCCTCTGTAACCCAGAATCACAGAGCACCGGGGTAAAGGTTGACAGGGAGTGCATGGAGAACAGGTCCATGAAATAATAAAAAAACTCTAGGAAACTGGAACAGGGGCTGAAGGGGAGGGAAGAGAGAGAGAGAGATGAAGAATGGTGTAGACAGACGGCCGTGTCCATGATGCTAATGATATGACAACAGTCCACTCACTCATAACAAACCCTTGACATTTGACCATCATCACTTTTATGTTAAGGATGTAATTTTTTTTACTTTAAAATGCTTTCTATTTTCTGAGCTTAAAGGTGAAGTATGTAATTTATGTGCCACTAGCTGTGCTGAACTGCTGCGTTTTATCAAATGCATCGTTAGCCAACCCTGCGTTTCCCAAAACTAGTTCCAACAAACATTCGTAAACAACATCGCAAAGTTGTATGAATGGAACTACAGTTCTTGACCTGTGGTTGGAAGCATAGTTTCTTGTTAATATGGCATGTGGACTTCATGCTCATGCTCTTGGGCACAATAAGCAAGCTAATGTGCAGTACATACAATATTAATGATTCATAAAAGATGAATCACTGTCTGGCTATCTGTGATTTCAGTATGAGGATCATAATTTTTCAGCAGTATTGCAGCACACCATGACTGGATATTAGCACCGTTTCTTGATTGCTTTTGGCATCTGATGGAGCGCATGGACACGGAAATGACGACTTGTGATGTCATAAGAATGGATATTTTTCCTTCTATTTAAATCTACTTTGTAAAAAAAAAAAGTTGTTTCAACTTAGAGTAAGTGTTCACCTTAAAATTTTAAGTTTAGTCAACTTTAAATGTGAAGTTGTGCTAAGTGACAACTTGGGTAATTGAGTTGACAACTTGAAAATTTTAGAAAAGGCAGCATGAACACTAGTGTTAATTTCTTTAAAAAACTATGAAGAAAATGTTTCGTCGACAAGCTTTTTTCCCACAAATAAAACGAGACGATGACGAGACGACAGTAAGGTCAATAAACGATAACTGCAGCCCTCTACAGACACCTTGGCAATTGAATCGCCATTGGCTAGTAAATGTTTTAGTTTACTCGCCAGACTGATAATATATATATATATACAGTGGTGTGAAAAAGTTTTTGCCCCCTTCCTGTTTTTTTAATTGTTTGCATATGTCACACTTAAAAGATTCAGATCATCAAACAAATTTTTATATTACACTTCGGACTGGTGGTGGTGCTTTTTGGTCATTCAGTGTTTCTGTAAAAAATAAAAAATTGGGGAAAAAACTGATAAGATAATAATGATACGAATTCTACTAATAAGAACAATATAAAACGCACTAAGGATTAATGAGCTACTGGATTCATGAATATTAATCAGGTTGTGTGCGTTCGCTTGAACTGATTTGCTGAAATCAAAACAGGGACGATAATAGGCGAGTGCCAGCCAATGAGGTTGCTGTTTGCACATTAGTTCCGCCCACTACCGGAGAAAGCGGTAGTTCTTAAAAGCTGAACAATTCCAAAGGAACTCCGTTATTTTGACAGCAAAATACAACAAAGAATATAGTTTACGTAGCGCGTAAATTCTCTCTCTCCCTCTCTCTCTGCGTGTGTGTGAAACAAAGCAACGGCGAGTCGTGCGCCTAGAGTTTATGGTACGTTAAATACAGGTGTGTTGCACATCCATTGAGATGAACTAAAAAACAACACAGATCGCTTGGCTGAGAGTGAAACTCTGAAGCGCTCAGTCAGAGAGTGTTCGGCGAGTGAAAATATATCTGTGCTAAACTTATACTTAGCCTCCAACTCACACACTGGCGAGTAAAATCTGAGAATTTATTAGCAATTGGCTAATTTAGATATCATTTAGTCGCCCAGAGTGAAGAGTTAGTCGCATATGCGAGTGATTTACTCACAATGTAGAGGGTTGTAACTGTGACGTTGTTTGCACATGGCTAATTGCTTAATAATAATAATAATAATTAGGGATGCACCGATACTGGTATCGGTATCGGGCCCGATACTGGTCTCCTGTACTCGTACTCGTTAAAATGCCCCGATACCAAAACGCCGATACCACACAGCATGTGATAAGCGCCATATTCAAACAAAGAAACACCGACAACAGAACAACAGACAGCAGAAAGGAGTTAAGGATGTCTACTACGAAGTATATGTATGCAATGAATATAATGTTAAACAATCAGTATTAACACCTGTATAGCTGATGTGTGCGAGCTGATAAACAAAGCACGTTTTATTCTAAGCACACAGTGGATTGAGCATGCGGCGGCACAGATGCGCGAGCTTGTCGAGTGAATATATCTTTCTCACAGACATCACTGGAAAGCTTGTAGTTCGGTCGGATATGTCAAAAACAAGTAAGTAAAACAATGCACAAGTTACTTAACGGTAGGGAAAGAGAGAGAGCGAGAGAGAGAGAGAGAGAGCGCAGTTCTGTTGTGTGATCTTTGATGTTCACTCACTTAGCACACATCATTTGGATTAAAACTAAATCGTAAAAATAAGACCATTTATAGGGGCATTCACTATAAACATCATTTCTGACACAGTTTAACTCTGAGTTCTTGTCATATTTTATTACCATTTTCAAAACTATAGCGAATAAACTGTGATAATGTGAGAAATGTTGAAGGTGACTGAATACATTTTGGTTTGACTGTGTCTATTTGATAAATGAAGTTAACCAACTAACATTATGCATACTCTTTTGGTTTCTGTACCCAATATTAAAAAAATTGACAAATGCAATAAAAATATCGGTATCGGCAAGTACCAAAAATAAAAGTATCGGTATCGGGCGAGTACTGGAAAAAGTGGTATCGGTGCATCCCTAATAATAATAATATAAAATAAAAATAAAAAAAACACCAAAAAAATCCTCCCCGAACTTCCCGCTGCCCTGTATCTTGCTCTCTCATTGGCTGTAGGTCATCGCCGATGTATGTTTCAGTCAGAACTCATTTCACACAGCAGGATTTTGAATTCTCTCAGATCGCGTCTTTCAGGACAA